ATACTGGCCATGGATCATGCAGCACGGAGGAAGATGATACTTTTGTACAGATCTTGCTTCGTCTGATTTAGGATAGTAATTGCGTAGCTTCAGAGCTCAAATTCGTGAGGTCAACGCTCGCAGTTGTCTGTCTTATGGGTGTAAGATCCTTACTGAGGAGTAGCTTACAGAGCAGGCCAGACTCATTAAGGATGCTTGTTGGGGTTGAGGGTTTAGCAGAGTTTGGGAGAGTTTGGCAGCCTCCTTGAGAAGACCATGATAGCCGTTTGAAATTTGCGACCTTCAAGTGAACCTGAGGGATTCCCTGCTTCTCCTTGTTGGTCGCGGAAGGACTAGAGTAGTGCAAGGGCTGGTCAATATGCCGTGCAGGTCAGTACCCTGATGGGACAAGGCGCACCAAACCGACGCCCTCAACTGGTAAGGGCGAAAAATGTGTTTAGCCCTGTGATTAGTTTACTTGCGGGTTTCGAGAGACCTTGTGACGACCTCATTACATTTGCCCCGAGCAGCTTGGACCTAGGCAATTGTCAGATGGGTCTCCTAAGTAGTTTTTTGAACGCAATGGGGTTCTAACTTTAGAGCGATGAGGACCATGCTCTTTTGTCCACATTTGCAGATTCAGATGCCTTCATCCCGAGCTTTGCTTTGGGAGCTCAGAGGAATACCTTAGACAATCATGCAAGCCCCGAAGAGTTCCCAACAGCCCTCTGCTCACGCTTGTGAGAGGGCGAATCCTTTCCATCATTTTTGAGGACGCACATAGGGTACTCACTCAGAGCCTTCTCCTGCGTAATCATTCCAGCTTGGTAGCTTGTTTCTTTAGAATCTTCTCGGTAGGGTGGATGGTCGAAGGATGAATTTTGGCTTTGGCTCTTGCAGGCTGAGGTGCTCCCTTGTAGGGCGGCCACCCAAGACAGTTCTGTATGCTCGCTGCCAGCAACTTTTCAAGCCAATTCTTCGCTTCAAAGCTTTTAGCCTGCTTCATGCCGTGCTTGTCCAGGGAGCCCCTCGAGGATATCCTTTAGTTGGTAGCTCTGAACCATCTGCCCTGAGCTTGCCCTATTTGTCGCGCTTGGCTTCCAGCTGTAGTCTCACTTGCTGAGCTAGGAAGTAGCTGCTTCGGATCGCTTCTGCTGACGCTGACATCCTGTCTACTTTTTGTTCGTCTTAGTCCTAGCATCGGCAGCATTTGCACCTACAGGCATCATACAACAACAATGTAAACTTCAGAGCCATGACGAGAATATCCCAGCATGCTTGCACCAACTCCACAGCCTTTGAACGCCCTCAAAGCCGGAAAGCATAGATCGTAGTTTTCCTCAGCGTCATCTGAAATGCAGCATGGCCCGACGGCGCAAGCATCTCCAAGAAATGCGACTGGGTTCGCATTGCAAGCCTTCGCTTATGGTTTTTGCCATGGTCAAGTTGACCATAATGTTGATGATCATCATGATGGCGATTATGATGTTGCTCATGATGATGATACTAGGATGATAGTAAGATTGATGATACCGATGGTGATGACGATGATAGGTGAAAGCTGGGGTCATGATGATCATGACGGTGAAGATGAGGATAATGGTCGTGGTGGTGATGACCATGCGATGACGATGCTTGTGCTGCTGGTGCTGTTTCTGCTGTTTCTGCTGCCGCTGCTGCCGCTGCTGCTGCTGCTGCTGCTGTGACAGAGGCTCCTTCCGCGATGCGGGCAGCGTTGGCAAAACAAATCAGCAATCAACAACGCTCCTTGAAAGTATGACATGTTGCTTCCTGAGCTTTTAAACGGTTCAGCTTCCAATGGGACGAATCCTCTAGCTTGAGGCTTCAAGATTCTCAGATCGGGCTTGCTGGCGGGGACGTTAGACGTCTGTGGTTTTGATTTTTTTGGATGAGTCTCACATTCACGCAACTCGTGCACGGGGTCGATGTGGAGTTGATGTTGTCCTTTACCAAGGCCACTGCGCAAAAGTCTTGGGCAACTCCGCAGCACTGGTTCAGGGTTCCGGAGAGATGTCAGACAGCGGCAGTCTACCAAGCATGGTAGAGGTTCTATACGGGTCTACGTGGATTCCCTGCAGTGTTGTGGAGGTAAAGGGTGAAGCATGGCTCAAAATCAGGAGTCTGTTTGAAGTCTGAAGTTGCTGTATCAGGGAAGCTGGGCTGCCTGCATCTCAAGACTTCCCCCTCGTACGCTGCCGGAAAAAAGTTTTCCTAATGTCAGGCACATTCCGTCTCTGCTGGTATTCACATTTCTGTGATTGATGGGTGCATGCGCTGGTTTGGGCCTTGCATGGATCCTCTCTCCCCACAAGCCATCCCCTTTCAAGAATCACTTGTCAACATGCAGCCCCTCTCCTAACATCCTTGAAGCAGAAACCTTGGAAGCTCCTCAGCTTCAACCCAGACTCTTCAAGCTTTCACATCACCATTCGGTCCACCCAGAGCCTAACTTCAATGCTTGAGGGCCTCAAACCGTGAACCAGAAACATGATCCCTGGAAAGACTATGTGTTGCGGTCAGGCCTGGATGCTGCGAGCGCAGAAGGCCAAGGAGCTCACAGCAGAGTCCAGCAGTCGTTGTGATAGTAGTCGTGGTGGTGGTGGTGGAGGCGGTGGTGATGGTGCGGCTGTAGCGGTAGCAGTAGCGGCGGCAGCCGCAGCTGCCGCCGCCAATCGTTCCCATGGCCGTCACAGAATCTGCATGTGAGTTGGCGATACTTGTATCTTACTCTCACATCTTGTGGATCCCATAGCCCCCCATGTATACTTGCCCCCATAGTTTTGTATAGATCCACCACAGATCGGGCTGTAATTGACCTGGGCCTCCAAGTTCCAGGAGCCACAGCTCCACGGGGTCCTACCTCGGAGCTCTGCACCCTCGGAGGTTCCAGTTGTTGGGCTTAATGCTGCTATCATGAATCTTTGCAGGAATACCTGGACCCCAAAAGAATTCAAACATCATGGCCTTTATGGCTTTTATTCTAGATTTAGGGCTATTATTTTGCATACTTTTGGGGTTTAGGTAGTCGTACAGTATACCGAGGGTCATGCTAAGAGGAGAGAGTTGGAGACGGAGTGCTTAGCAGTTTGAATGGGTTAAAATCAGCAACACAGGTTTCCGGCCAGGCTTTTTCAGACGTGCAGGGTCCTTTCTGGATCCTTGAAAGTGAGGCTCAATCTTGTGGGGGGTTTTCAAAATCTTCTTTGCGATTACTTCAAGGAAGTTTAGAACGTTTTAGCGCGTGTGTTCAGGGTTTATGAGGAGGCTTCTCAAAATACGGGCGTTCTTCTACGATATCGTTCTTGTTTGTTTTGTGGTATCGTTGGCCCTAAGTTTAGCATGTGCCGAGGGGGAGTGCTTGTGATTCTTTGTGTTGGTTAGGATATGAAAGAGATGCCATGCCGAATTTCGTGCAGCCCCTCATGTACGTAGGGTATGAAAATGCACATGGCAACCGGATATGTCAAGGGAGGTTACATACAGACATTTCCAGGATGCAACAAAAGTTACAAAGGGATGTCTTGGCAAGATGTAGAGATCTAAGTATTAGAAAGAATTTTGTATAGTAAACGGATCCTTTGCTGGCACGGTGAACTTGAGGAGTGACTTCGACTGTTTGTCAGGATTACGCTTGGTCCTAGCTTTTCGGAGTTGCAGTCAGGACGTGTTGTTGAACATATCATGGGCATTTGAGCCTTGTTTCACAAGATGTTGTGCCATAAGACCTGGCACGGGAGCTGCATTCTATTTCCAGGGTCTACATGGCCAGCTGTGGGTACAATGTAATTTAAAGGGAATCCTCTTGATCGTCCCCTTAGCTGGATGCCATGGTAGCCGTAAGATGCCGTACGCCTAGTGCCAAGTTACATATCACAATAGCTAGTACTTTCAACAGATCCTCGATCCCCCGTCTGTTTTGCGAGGGTCCGCGGAGGGTGGAGGGCACAAGGCATTAAAGTCTCGCAACACCATTCAAACGGCTGCGTCAGGTCCCGAGGGCTCCCAAACGGTCCACGCTTGGGCTCACGGCACCGTCCACCTTCGCGAAGGCGTTGGGTTTGGAGTGTTGGCGGAGCTGTATGAGTCTAGCGTGAGACTTGGGAATCAAGCGGGACGGGGCTTTCAGTCGCTGTCATCTAGGGAGTGGGCCTCATCCTCGTATTGTCATAAAACTGTGGAGTCATGATTTCGATTGGCTTCAGACAGAGTCCTGACCATGTACTTCCTTCAGACCAATTTCAATCTCATGCAGCAGTAGATCAAGAACACCGGTGATAGCGCAATGCCGTCTGAACAGCATAAAGTACGCAAGGGCTTTGCCATAGAAGCTGGCTTGTGGGGACTTCCTGCACCGTCATCCCTGGCCTCCGCGCATTTGTGAAGATGCACGCATGTTTTTGGCTCAAAGACCAGCGTATTCCATGCAGCAGGACGGCCATGCCCCGTTTCCTGCTGACGTCGCGGAAGCCATTGCAACAACGCGTCCTTTCCCTGGGACACTGGTTCCTGGAGCAGGATGCGTTTTCCCTTTTTGGTGGGTTCTCAGAGCTCCTACGGACGAAAGTGCATTGGTTTCAGTATGGGCTTGAGACTGCGAGGTACCTTCTTCTCAAGGGCTTTTATGACGTTCTCAGGTGTGGTGTGTGCCCTGGGGGCAGGGACCTTACATCACTGCGCCAACGCTCCCGGCTTTAGTGCCATGGCGCAGGCCTACCAAGTTGGGCTTGGATGATCCGAAATTTTACAGCAACCATGGACCCAAGACAACATCTGAAAAGCAACTGCGTAAGACCAAGCAGCCGCATACATCTGAAAACAAAACATGAGCTGCAACAGCTAATCCCCAAAGCCCACCTAAGCTCTGACAGCAACACCGTACCTTCTGAATCCCTATACAAAGCTATAGTCTGAAGTCTAAACTCCTTAAAGGGGATTATATAGGGGAGTATTTTAGGGGTTACTAAGGGGGATACTAGGACTTTAGACTACAGCTCACATCAATGGTGCAGGCCTATTCCATCGGAAAGCCAGGAGCCAAGTGGGAGCTGCCAGAGAGGCAGCTTTGGCTTGAAAAGCAAGCCGTCAAACGGCCCCCAGGATGCAAAGAGATCACCTTCTTTTTTAAAGGGTTTAGGGTT